GGGATTAGGCTTAAAACATAGGATTTGTCTACGTTTGTTGTCTTTATTAAGAAAGTTTGTCCCTGGCTCCCCACTGAAGGGACCATAGATGAAAAGAGGTGAAGAGAGAAGGAGATGCTTACGAGGATTACTATACAACTTTTGGCCCTGAAAAGATTCCTATTACAGCATTATATTTCATAATATGATTAATGAAATTACTTCTCAGAAACAGCATGACCCTTTGTAGTAAAAGAAGAAGAGAAATGCTTAGAACCTACAGAAACAGAAAACGAAGAACAGCTCAGTGAGGAGGAGGACTTTATGTCGTTTGATAGTGACTCAGAAGAGATTCAAAAGTCTAAGCCACAAACCCAGTGTAAGATCATAAAAAAGATGCCCCAACCTTGCCACAACCAAAAAAGGATGAGAAAGTCAGACCCAAAGTTAAAAAGATATATCCCTCTTAAAAAATATCCAAAAATCAACAGCCTATGGAAGATAGTTTTAGTGACTCTGAGTGGGAAGATTTGGAGGAAGAGACAGCTAAATATCATGACCCAGACTGACCTCCATTAACAAAACATCAGCCTCTGCCTTATACACCTCCTCCAACAGACCCTCTCTGGCTTGCCTAATATTAAATCTTCAAAAAGAGCTACAGGACAAAATTCAATACTTTAGAGAGCAGTTTGGATAAGAAACAGAACATCAAGAACTGATTATCCAACTAGAGAGTATAAGGACTGGCAAGTCTACCAACACCTCTCAAAAAGGTATTGCCAAGCCACCTCTTGGGGGTGGGGCTGCCCTTAAGATACCTATTACCCACCTACATCAGACAGGATCAGAGAATATGACTGCTTTCCTGGTAACAAAGACATCAGATGCACAAGGCACTCCCTGGAGACATCATGCTGGTTTTGATTTCAATGTAACCAAAGTAGTCAAAATCACGGTCTCTCAATATGGAACTATGACTCCTTATACCACTATCATCATAGAATCTGTGGCAAACAATTACTCCTTCGACTGGTATACTTGAACTAGAGCAACCTTGGCAGGGGGAGATTATCTTTTATGGAAGTCAGACTTTGCAGAAGCTTGTAAAGAAACTGCAAATAGAAATGCCCAGGCAGGCAATAACTGGAATGCAGATATGTTAATGGGGGAAGGAAATTATGAGGCAGAAGATGTTCAAATGCAATATGAACCTGGGCTATTTGCCCAAATTCAAACAGCTGCCACCAGAGCCTGGAAGAGATTACCTACTAAAGTGTACATGAGCTCTTCCCTTACAAAGATCAAACAAGGACCTGATGAGTCTTTTTCAGACTTTGTCCACAATTTCCTAACAGCATTAGGAAAAATTTTTGGAAATGTCTATTCAGGCAATGATTTTGTTAAACATTTGGTTTTTGAAAATACTAATTCTGTCTGCCAAGCAGCTATTCAACCATATTGTAAAAACCAGATATTTCTGGCTACATTCGCCTCTGCTGAGATAGGTACAGTTATCAGCAAGGACTCACCATGGCATCTACTATTCAAGGTACTACAGTTAGACAGTTCTTGTCTAATCAGGGCAGAAACAAATGTTTTAGCTGTGGTGAATCATGCCATTAAAAAAATGTCCACAAAAGCAAAAGGGAATACCTCAGAAAGCCCCTGCACCAAGACTCTTTCCAAGATGCAAAATAGGAAAACATTGGGCCAATGAATGTCAATCTAAAACTGAGATACATGGCCAGCCTCTTGCTCCCAATAGCAACCAGGGAAACAGGTACACAGAACAGCCCCAGTCCCCCAAACCCACACAAGTTTATAGGGCAGTCAGTTTTGTTCCAGCAAACAATTTCTATCCTCTGCAGAGCAATACCGGGCAGTGAACCTCAGTTTCACCACACACATAGTCTTATCTCCAGAAATGTATGTACAAGCTATTCCAGCATGGGTTTTTGTTTCACTGCCACCAAAAACACTTTGGCTAATTATAGGCAGCAGCACCATAACCATGAGCAGCTTAAAAGTTTTCCCAGGAAAAACTTGATATTGATTATGAGGGAAAAATCAAGGTTACAGTGGCATCTCCCACTATAATTAATACTCTCCCATCAGTCAATGTTTTGCTCAGCTTTTGATTCTCCCCTTACTGTCCACTGATAAAACAATATAGCTAATAAGAGAGGCACCAAAGGTTTTGGGTCCTCAGATACATATTGGATAGAAACCATATCTAATAATAAGGCCACCATGAAGTAAAAATTAGATAATAAGGACGTTTCTGGTCTAGTGGACACTGGCACAGACATCATTATTGCCAGCCTGTCCACTAGAAAAGAGGCTAACACACCAAAGAGGCACAGGCCAAAGTAAAAATCCTCAACGTAGTATAAAACTGTTAACCTGGAAAGATTCTGAAGGCCACTCTGGATAGAGCTCTATGTTATTACCAGAGTTCCTGTTAATTTATGGGGTTGAGATTTATTGTCCCAGATGAGTATGATCATGTGTAGATCATGTGTAGATCACAATCAATGAGATTGTGACCATGCAAATGCTTAAGACAGGCCTCATGCCAGGTAAAAGCTTGAGCAAGCATGAGACTGGCATTCAACATCATGTTTTTACAGTGCCCAAGAATGATCACACAGGCTTAGAATAATTTTCTTAGGGACCATTGATTGTTCTGTTACCCATGGAAATAAAATCACATGGCTGTCTGATGAAGCTCTTTGGGTCTATCAGTGGCCCTTTGCCTTAGAGAAGCTTGCTACCACTCAATAGCTGGTACAGGAACAGCTTGAGGCTGGCCATATGTTACCTAGTACTTCCCCTCGGAATACTCCTATTTTTTTATTAAAAAGAAATCTGGAAAATGGCATCTTTCACAAGATCTTAGGGTTGTGAATAAAAATATGGTCCTAATGGGAGCCTTACATCCAGGCCTCCTTTCCCCTATTGCAGTCCCTTTGGGATACTTTAATATCATAAATGACCTCAAAGGTTGCTTTTTTACTATATCCGTACATCCAGATGATCAAAAACGCTTTGCTTTTAGTCTTTTTTCCCCAAATTTTCAAGCACCTATGTGCTGGTATCAAAGGCGTGTTGTCCCCCAAGGTATTGCTAATAATCCCACACTTTGCAGCAACCACCATCCAAACGGTTAGGGACTCATGGCCACAGATGTATATTATACACTAAATGGATGATATCCTTTTAGCAGGACAAAAAGAGGAAAAAGTGTTATCCTGTTATAAAGAGTTACATGATGCTCTAACAAAAAGAGTTATGTGATGCTCTAACAAAAAGCACCAGATAAAAGCACAGATAGCACCGGAAAAATACAACTCAAAGATCCCTATACTTATTTATGTTTTCAAATGTTTGAAGATAAAATTTTCTCTCAAAAAATTACTTTCAGATTAGATGGGCTTCATACCTTAATGATTTTCAGAAATTACTGAGAGGTATTAATTGGCTACTACCTTATTTAAAAATTAGAAAAGAAGAATTAAAACCCCTTTATGACATTCTCCCCAGTAATTCAGATCCCATGTCACCTTGTCAACATTCACCTGAAGGCTGCAAAATAATAACTCTGGTGTAACAAGTCTTACAATCTCAAACAGTTACTTTTCTTGATTACAATCGCTCCCTGTGGTTCATTATTTGCAAAACAGCTCAGTCTCCAACCTCAGTTTTTTTGGCAAACTGCTCCCATATTATGGGTCCATTTACCAGTCAGCCCCAAAAGGGTGCGAAATATCTGTTTTTAATTGGTCTCAGATATTACTGTTATAGGTAGAAAGGAGGCCAAGTCTTATTTTGGCCATGAGCCAAATCTTATTATTCAACCTTATAGCAAGGAACAGGTTTATTGGCTTATGCAAACAACAGAAAGCCTTGGCCAATGACAGAGGAGAAATAGACAACCATTATCTTCCTAATAAGCAATTAATTTTGCCAATCCATTTAATTTCCAAAAAATACTTTCCTGGATGCTATACCAGGAGTGTTAACTGTGTTCACTGAAGGCTCCTCCAGGGGATAGCTGCTTATGCCTGGAATGATGAGGTTAATAGTATTTCAACTGGGGCCTAATCTGCCCAAATAACAGAATTACATTCTGTTACAGCTGCCTTTACAGCCTTTCCAAACCAATCATTTAACATTTATACAGACAGCGCCTATGTTGCACATTGAGTACCACTTTTAGAGATTATAGGTCAAATTAAAAATATTTCTGAGACTGGTAATTTATTTAGACAACTATCTTCTCCCATAAGAGTTAGAAAGTTTCCTTTCTTAATTAGGGCACTTTTTTGTTCATTCAGGTCTCCCCGGATCCCTATCCCGAGGCAATCGTTTGGAAGACCAAGCAACCCATTGTCTTCTGGCTCTGCCTGTGGATTCCATCCAGGACACAGGCATTGAAATAGCATGTAAAGGACATTCATTACATTATCTTAATGCCTATAGTTTACACCTTATGTATCATTTTACCAGAGAACAAGCTAGACATATAGTTAAAAAACTGCTCAGAACACCTCCAATATTTACCTGTACCCCATTTTGGAGTTAATCCTCATGGACTTGTGCCAAATGCTCTCTGGAAAATGGATGTTACCGATCTTACAGAACTTGAACATCTTAAATCTTTACAATCATAATGTTTTCATAAAAATGGAAATGGTGGTGCATGACTTTAATCCTGCACGTGGGAGACAGAGACAGGCAGAGATCTGTGGTTTAGCGGCCAACCTGGACTATACAGTGAAGCCCTATCTTATAACACACACACACACACACACACACACACACACACACACACACACACACGCACACACACACACTGAACAAACCAGAAAGAAACGGTGCTCACAGTAGTCAACTGGGCTTTTAGAATCCTTAATAAGGCTTGGTTTTGTTTTGTTTTTCAGGGAACTTTATTTTGATGCCAAGGTAATTGGAAAGAGCTACAAACACAGACAAGATCCAGACTTAAACTACCCTTGTAAAGAAAAATGTACCCATTTAATTATTGGCTGGGTTAAGGCAAATACACCAAATGTAATTATATATTATATATACTGAAAATTCTAGTGAGATAACAATGAATCCTAGGGATGGAAACGAGGGACACTCATTTCCTCCTACAATAAAGAAGAGGAAGAGACACCTCCTTTAAGAGGTAGGGGAAGGGAGAGTTCTGGGGACACACAGCTTCAGAACACAGGTGCAGGTCAATTGATGATAGGTGGAGTCAAGGAAGATCTTGGAACGACTGTAGAGTCTTTGCCGTTTGACAGTGACCAGATCATTTTCTGTCTCCACATCTTGGTATCTTTGTCTCTAAAACAAATGAGTTGCTGTTCACAGTAAAAATAAAGATCAATTAAATCATGTAATTTATGATTCAGTTATAAAATTCAAATAATAATACAACATGAAATATGTGTTTATATTGGCCCTTACTCATTTAAGCAACTAAATATTTTACAGATGCAATTATCCAGCAGGGAAAGGAGGAATGTTCTGGCCCCATAATCATGCCTTATAGCCCAGTCTGGGGGAGACGGTTTTTCCATTGCCATTCCTTCCTCACAATGACCCAAGTCTGTGTCGAGTTCATCCAAACTAACCAGTACAATGTTCAATGCAAAAATAACACTCTTTATGTGTGTGGGAAGTTTTGATATTGGGATTGTATTTTTAAAGTTATGGTCTATTTGCATCTGATCAAATCGTTCCTCTAGCTCAGATACCTTGTGGCTTTATTTATGAAAGGGCAAATAGATTATAGAATGATTTTAATATTCTTCCTGACAATATCATTGAACTTTTCTCGTATTTAAGCCACCTTAAATGTAAGAATCAAAGGGTTGGAAATCTGTAAAAATAATAATTGCAGTCAGAATCCATGAGCCTCAAAATTTGTAAATTTTGAACTATGTTTTCATTCCTTACAGATGAATTATGGCTTCCACTTTTGTGTTTTTACAGGATATAGGAATCCACGAAAGGGTGGGCCTCTGTGTCTACTGTTTCCTGTGGCTTCTATTGGCCTCTTTTCTTTATGTTTATTTGTTTTGTCCTATTCTGATTTGTTTTTTCTTATAATGTTTTACTTTATTCATGCCCCTTTCGTGCCTCTGTGCTTTCTAAGAACACATAAGGGGCTGGATCCAGATGGAAAATGAGGAGGGGAGGAACTGGGAGGAGGAGAGGGAGGGAAAGCTGTAATCAGAACTTCTGTCTGAAAAAAAACAAAACAAAAAGAAAGGGTAGTTTCTACATTGAATTCCAAATAGATGAAGAGACACAATTCCCACAAGTTAATGAAACTTGTAGAACATTAACATAAGACCAGAAAGAAAGTAATGTTAAAGTAATTATTCTGAGTGTAAGTATAATATATTTAATAAAATTTCATGGAAAAATATGTCACTACACACTCAAATGTGTATTTTTGCATTTCAGACATTAACTATATGCACGTACCTACACAAACATAGTGATTGTTTTTAGCAAATTTATGTATAGAAAAACTGATTTCTTCCAACATATTTAGGAATATGAATTGGTGAGACGTCTGAGGGACAATTTGAGTATATAACACAATTTTAATTGGTCACTTTTACTATAAACACCTGCACATTGTCAGTTATATAGAGATAAGCAGATTCACTATAATATTGTTTGTGGTAGAAAAAGATTAAAAAACCCAGTGTCTTTCAACTAAATAATGATTACAATACTGTAGTAAAGAAAATTAATAGAATTATGCAGCTAGAAATTTGAATAAAAACATACCCATACCAAAACATTATACCATTTTTCTAAATTAATTATTAAATTCATATATGAAGTAGTGTGTTTATAATCATGGAGTCTTCACACTCATGTCACTCTACTTTATTCTCAATATTCCCTGCTCTCACTCTCTTCTCTGGGTCACCTGATCCATGCTGACTGGCTGCCTTTCTTTCCCCTGATAACTGTGTACTGATTTCATGTCCCTTGTGTTCTGTCAGCCTTTCTTTGCCCCCACCTGAAGATATCTTCTTCCATGCTGTGTCCCGCTGTTGTCAATGAAATGTGTATTGGGCACAGTGTGTCGTTCTTTGTGAGAAATGCAATCCGTCACCACGAGAAACCTGGAGGCAGGAACTGAGGCAAAGAGTATAACTGTGACTTACTGACTTGCAACCTTCTGTTCTACTCAGTTATCTGTTTTATACGGTCCAGTCCCTCCTACCTAGTTACAAAACCACGCACATTGGGTCTACTCACCTCCATTAGTGATCAAGGAAATGACCGACAGATATGCCTACAGTCTGAGAGAGGCAATTACTCAAATGAATTACACATTTCCAGATTTGCAGTTTTTGTATTGTTGACAGTACCACCAAAATCTCAAAAAATTAATAAGACAAACAAAAACAACAGCAACAACAAAATGTTACTGACTAAAAAGTGAAGAGACCAAGAAGTCACAGCAAACTCCAGAATGAAGGGATGGGTGCTGAATCACATAGCACAAGAAACACCATAAAATACAAAAGATTTAATGGGGAGAACTACAAAATACAAGTAAAAGAAGCAATGGATGCCCATAAAGGAAAGATTATGTCCATTTCTTTGTGATGGCTTATAAAAAGAAACCTGTTTTTTCAAATGAATCAATAATTCAGTGTAGTGACTATCAAAATCTCTATTCAACTACCTTAAGAATTCAAAAGAAAGATAAAGGCCAACACCAGCCAAGCCATCAAGATGATTTTAATAATAGGTTCCATGAGGGAGTATGGATGTGAATCAGTGGATAAAGCATTGTGTTATAAGTGTGTGAACAGCAGACCAAATCTCTAGGAACTGCATAAAAGCCAGGTGTGCCTAGCGGCTGCCTGGAATCCCACTACTCATAAGGTGAGGAAGAGGGCCTAGGCCCTGCTCCAAATGATATGACAGAATTTGAAGATCCTCCATGGAAGGAGTCACCCTCCCTGGGGAGCAGAAATTGGATGGGATAGGGGGCCAGTGGTAGGCAGGAAAGGAGGGGAGGGAGATGGAACTGGGATTGACATGTAAAACAAGCTTGTTTTTATTTAAATAAAAAATATCACACCCCAAAACATAAGGTGAGGCAGAGGAGCCCAGGGCAAGTTGTCTCATTAAACCAGCTGAATTAGCACTTTCTGGGTGAGTGAGATACCCTTCCTAGGTAAATACAGTAGAGAATGATCCAATAAGGCACCAGACTGACATCAACTCCTGGCTTCCATGTGAACATCACCTGAACATACATGTGGACATGCTTACTCATATACAGGGGAAATCACTATTGATCAACACAGAATTACCATAAAGTTAAATAATTAAAATGATGTCAAAAGTCAGAAGAACAGATTAACTAAATGATGACATTCAAGAGAGAGTTCAAGAAAAGGCCTCCGTGTATAATAGAGTGTGAATGTGATGCTATTCAAATCAGCAGGAGATACACACTCCAGGCAGGGGTGTTTATTGATCAAGAGTGTGAATGAAAAGTGCATCTTCAACCTATGTCATTCATAGAGAAATTCTGGCTAGTGTAGAAGCCAAGATATACATGGGAGATTTAATCATTTAAAGGAAAGTTGTGGAAAACTTGATAACACTGGAGGGATTCCACCCATGATGGTAAAATAAAATAAAGCAAAATACTGTCTTACAAGACATGCTTTTCACCTTCTTCCTAGAACAAATTCTGCTTGAGTGTTTAGGACTGCAAAGAGCACTAAGACACTAGGTGACATACTTGATCCAGAGTCCAGAATCCTTCACCTCTTTCTGTATCTTCTTTCCAGCAGAGCAGAAAGTAGGACAAACACTTACATGTGGGTAACTGAGTGGCAGAAAGAAGATTTACCCATTAAAGTATCAGAACACAGCATAATGGTATAGACCTCCTGTGTACATATCTTTTGGTTTCTAAACAAATGAGATCAGGGCTTGTCCCAGCACAAACATGATATAAAGTGAGTCAAAATAATCCAACAAGGTCCTATAGCTCACCTCGCATTTAATATAAATATCAGTCACAAATACACTTGACTATTATTGTGTAGTCATTTTGTAATCATGATGCTACACTTTAAAAATTGGTAACATTTTGCTACCAAAAGAAATGCCTGGTAGATCTGGGTTAATATGTGAATACTAAACAATTTCAAATTTGTATTAGAACCATAATAAGACACTTTATGTTAGCATTTATGAGAGATGCATTTTAATGTAAAAAGACTTACCAATTCAGGTGATTATTTATTATAATAAACAGAAGGCTCAGATTGGGCTTGGATAACTGGAGTTATAAATTGTCTTCTTTGTGTTGACATTTTTCTTTCTTTTAATAGGAAATTCAGTCAAATTCACCACAAACAACCTCCACTAGAGAATAAGAATGCTCTTTCTATAGACTGAATGAAACAACCCACAAGAATGCTGCATTAGACACCTCTGCAAATAGAACAGGCATTTTCAGTGAAAGAGTGATACATGCATGAATATCATTCCACCAGCAGCGATATTAAAAGAATTTTTACGCTAAATAATCAAAGCAGGATTCATTGTTCCTCATCCAGTTCCTCTATTATACTGAAATGGAATATGAGTATTAGAATCTTATTTGTAAATTAGGCTGTTGTCTTTTATAGTCAAATTCCAAATTTATGGCTGTTCACATCTCCCTAAGTGCTAAGTGCTTATAGGGCCAATGAATAAAAGAACAGGGAAAAAAGCCCACAAGATCTTTTTGTACAATGGCATATATATTGGGATAAGCATAGCACAGGGCCTTTTCGTTTGCCTTTTAATTTTAAATGCTCTTTATCACATAAATGTTCTGTTGCTTCTATTTTTGAAATCTAACACAAACTAATAGCATTCATATAAGCATTTAAAACATTCCAAGGCTTGAATTAGGAGATGAATAATATGTAATTTCATTTTCACGATCATCTTTGGTAAAGATCTTATCTTATACTTTCAGGTGATAAAACAGTATTAGAGGCAGGCAGACTACAGGAGGAAATCTCTTAACTCACAGATCTAGTAAGAGATGTGGCTGTGAATCAAGACTTCATTTAATGATGGTGATCACCTGTGTAGAGTATTCTTCATGCTACACTTATGTCTCTTTATTACCTCTCTGTTATCCTCAGGACATCTCATCTGAAAAGGCACAGTTGTAGCCAATGTTCCTCTTCTATGCCTGCTCACCATCTCAGTTCCTTCCTTTGCCTATCAGACTTACAAATTTTGCTGTCATTTCTAGTGCCTTTGTCCATCAAAAAAATCCCAGATGCCATCACATTCCAAAGAAAACCTACTTGTACATCCTTTGATTAAGCAAGCTCCATATTTGTTCCTGGAACTGCCTGTTCTGATCAGGTTTGCTCTCAAAGTCATTGGCAATCAGCATTGCTGTGACACTGAAGTGGAAATACTAATGATGAGAAGTGGAAATGAGCATGATTTTAGCTTTCAGCACCAGTTTGCCACAACGTTGGCAGTCTTCTGAAATTGCATGATCATTATGCAATGATGCCTCATTTTCGTAGCTTGAAATGCATTCTTTAGGGGAAGAATGATAATTTTTCCTTAGCCTTCATATGTTTTCAGTTGCAATGATACTCTAAAGAGACAGACCAATAGTGTTAAAGGTGTGTAATATATACATATTTATACATGGGGGATACCTGAAATACAAGAGCTATCAGTAGGATTGAATTCTAGCCTAATGGGGAATCTGAAAAAATGTTCATTGCTTTTTTTATTTTTGAGATTTACAGTATAATTTCCTCATTTTCCCCTTCCATTTCTTCACTTAATCCTCCTCTCATAAACCTCTCCTTCTCTCTTTCAAATTCATGGTCCCCTTTTCATTAATTGCTTATACATGTATATTTTATATGTGTATACATCTGTATTCCTTAATATAATCTGTTCACTCTGTATGTTACTTGCATGCATAATTTCAGAGCTGACATCATTTGGTAATGACACACCAACTGGTGTGCTCTCAGCAATCCTTTGCTGCTTTAGTTCTTTCTGTAGGGTTGGGGACTCCTGGCTTCTCTGCACTCCACTTGGCCGTCTACTGTTGGTGTCCTTGGTTGGCTCACTTAGGCGGTTCTATTGTCAGGCTTTAATGGATGTAGCTGCTGACATTCTTAGACAAACCCAGGTTGTTTGCTGACAATCTCACAGCAAACCCTCTCATCCTCTGGATCTTACAGTCTTTCTGCCCCTTCCACAATGTTCCCTGAGCCTTATGGATGGGAGTATTTTATAAATGCATTCACTGTGGCTAGGCTCCTTAGCTTTGCCTTTTGATTAGCTGTGGTTTTCAGTAATGATCTCTATTTGTTGCAAAGATAAATTTCTCTAATGAGGAGTGAGGACTGCAATTAGCTGTGGGCACAAAGACAAATATTTAGAATGGTGTTAGCAATTATGCTGGCTTAGTAGAGTAGTGGTAGTTAAGTTCTCCATCATCCATGAATGTATGAGCCCTGGGTAACTGGCTAGGTTTCCTGTACCAGGAACAATTTTCCTGTTGTTAAGCAGGGTTTAAGTCAAATTAAAAAGCTGTTGGTTACGGCCAATGTGCCAGCAATGCGCAGAGTTATCTTGCCATGTTGATCATTGCTCTGGTTCATAAGTTCATAACTGGATAGACCTGCACAACAAGAAAGGGAGATATGAGCTGATAATGCTAGAGACTTAGGGGAATGTTTATACTCTGCAAAAGTTAATCAGAGTAATTTATTAATACAGATCCTTTCTGAGCAACAAGGGCCTAAGTCACCAACCACAGTCATTCTTTCCTCTCCCTGACAGAAAGATAAGGTGGAGTTATTTTATCTCTGCAAATTTGCTTCCAGTATTTGGGAAAATAATAGAAAAAAGCAGGTCTTTTGTATCTATTACTTCTTAATTGTCTTCAGCTTAATATTTAGCCCTAGTACTGTGTGGAATTTTCTGGTCTTAAAGAATTATGAAGGAACATATTAAATAAAATGCATAATTAAAAATATTACAGCATTTTGAGTATGTTCCAAGTTCCAGGAATTGTGAGCTGATACCCATACTGGTTGGGTTTCAGTGATGAAGCTGTTTTAGAGTCATTTCTCTCCTATCATTAATCCTGATAAAACTCTTACTCTTGGTTCACTAAGTTGGTCTTTGGTGGAATCTGTACTTGGTCTGCCATGGGCTTTATCTCTGAGGTGAGTAGGCAGAAAAGTTTTGTGTCACAACACCTTCTACTCCTTCAACTTAAAAATTAATTACTTTTGCAGGTAGAGTTTAGAATGTGTCGACATTTTCCCTGAAGACTTAGTGGAATGTTGTAGCCCTGAAATGGAGCTGCAGCATCTGAACATGACTGCTCTGCAGAACAAACCTCATCTCACAACTCAGACTAACAATAAAGAGAGGAGAAATTCGATGTGTAACATAACCACTAATTCTCTTTTGAAAATATCTGCTGGCCACCATTAGAGTGTTGAACTCTTGACATTAGAGAATTCATCAAATTGCCATAAATAATATAAACTTACTTTTTATGAAACTGTTATTTATAATTTAACTGATTATCCCTAAAGATTTTAAGTCCTGTTGTTGACTGATACAAATGTCAAAGAGGAACACAATTAGGATTCATCTTTATTTGTAGGCCACTGGGGTACAATTGACATCTAATGAATTCCAACTCTTCACTGAAGAAGGTTTGATAGTTCTCCACGTTTAACTCTTTGCTGATGTCTGCAACCCTGTTCTTAGCTTCTTTCAGAAAGACATTTCTAGAATTCATTCCGGTTTGCATCACTATCTGTCACCTCACCATTCTGGTATTGGTGGTATCATTATACTTCTTAATTTGTCTCCCAGTAGTTTCTCATTCTTGCATGGAAAAGCAATTGATTTTACTGAAGTGCCACGTCCCATGTCATCTGTTAATAACCTCAATTATTTTTTAACATTAATGTTTATTATTGAGCACTATTACTTCTTTTCTTAGCTTAGATTCTCAAAAAGATTTCTGGTCTACAGTCACATAGTGTTTATGTCCCCATTCTTAGTTTCTTCTTGTTTCAAAAAGATTTTGAAAAATTTTAGGTGTATGAGTATTTTGTCTGCATGTGTGTATGTGCACTTGTTCTGTGTGTGTTATCTACAGAGGCTCGATAAGTGCACGAGTTGTCCTGTAGTTGCAGATGGCTGTGAGCTTCCATGTAAGTGCTGAGAACCAAATCTGAGTCTTCTGAAAGATCAGAGTTCTTAACTGTTTAGTCATCTCTCCTGTCCCTTTGGTTTTCATTTTAATTCCTTATGTTGAGAAACTATTCCTTTTTATGTTTTAATCCAACTTATATTTTTTCTGTGTTATGCCTTGTCTAACTTGCTAAATGACCTATTTGTACATTTTTTAAAAACACACATGTATGCATACTCTGTTGTTATTTGTGAATGGTGTATTCTATAAACACACATCAGTTAATTCTCACTGTGTTATTAAGTTATTCAGTGTCCCTGATGTTTATCGTTCTACATATGACACCCATTTTCGAAGGTGAACATTGAGGATTCCAGGTAATATGCATTTAATATTTCTCTGTCCATTTCTATCCATTTTGCTTCATGTGTTTTGGAGTGGCATTACTAGGTACATGTAGACTTATAATCACAATATCTCCAGTGAATTATGATGTTTTAGCATCTCATCATGGCTCTTGTGGTTTCTTTTAATGACGCATCAGTTGTTTAGCTGTCTGTGGTGGATGCAGACAACATCTTTCCTATTTTAGTATTGAATAGTGTGTCCTTCCCTATTCTCTTACTTTTATCTGCCATTTTAAAATTTAAAGAAAGAATTTTGTTCTCTGACATCTAGCTTATTATTTAGGCCACATAAATTATTAACTTGATAATGTTTTATATTTTCAGGTCAATAATTTTGGTACTTACTTTTAATTTGCTGTTTCAATTAAAATATTCATCTTCTCCTGTTTGTTCATGAGTTTTGAGGATTTGATTTTTTTAACATTGACATGTTTTTTCAGATAATTATTTATTTGATTCCTCTTAACGTTTCCTTTATGAACTAAATTATGAATGCCCACTTTTCCATAAGCTGGTTTTACTATCTTATCACTTAAGGGATTTTCTTTTGGTTTTAATTAAGGTTTTCTTTTGTTTGTTTGTTTCTGTGAAGAGAACATGGCCACAGTAACTTTTATAAGGAAAACATTTAATTGATGGGTCTCACTTATAGTTTCAAAGGTTCAGTCCATTATCATCATATCTGAGGGCATGACAGCATGCAGGTAGACATGGTGCTGGCAACATCTTGACTTGCAGGAAACAGGAAGTCAACTGAGACACTGGGTGGTATTCTGAGCATGTGAACCCTCAGAGCCTGGCAACACACTAACACACTTCCTCCAGCAAGGCTACACCCACCCCACCAAAGCCACACCTCCTAATAGAGCCACTCCCTGTGAGATTATGAGGTCAATTACATACAAACTGCCACACCTGTGATTTTCATTGGAGAATTAGTAGGAGAAAGGTGATATTTTGAATTTGCTGAAATATTGCTGCTATTTCTTTTGCTGTAGTTTTAATGCTTCTCACTTCTGTCTCATACTTAACTTAGGACTGAGTCCATGCTGGAGCACTTCTACTTTACAGAATCTGGAGATGAACAGTTCTGATTTTCCACTTGCCTAGGCATAGTGTTTTTCTACTAGTTGCTGAGGACCTGTCAAGAGCTCATGAGATTGGCTAGGTTAGTACTTAAATTGACTGCTCCATTAGTGGAGGATCCTTTATATTTATATTATAAAACAACCATAATTAATATTGATGCTTATTACAGATGTGGGAGACATGTATATGTACATATATTTGTGTGTGTGTTAAAAGATATATACATAAATTTACCTGTCTTCATGAGACACTGCAATATCTATTATACTCCCAATTTGACTCATTATGATTCTGTACCTTGAAATGTATAGGTTAGATATATTTCCTAAAGCATTCTTTTCCTCTACTTCTTATTAATAAATCTTAAAAATCCCATATTTGAAACTTTCAGGGCACAGGTGACAGTTTTTCACTCGCTCTGAAGCATAGCAGTGAAACAGAAACAAAAACATCTAATCATATCACATTATCATGCTCATTTTGATGTTGAAAATGTATCACTTCCTGAAATTGTGTCAGGCTGTTTCCTTCTGGGTAAACTCCATGGAGATCCTTTGATACAGTGAAATGTAACCAAATTTTAAGTTACAGAAACAGAGATGGCTCATATAGAGTGCATACCACAGCAAAATATGGGATTCTCTGGTGACCACTATGGCCCTATGATGAATAATCTCAGAAACTCAAGCACTCGTTCAAACAAAGATATTTCAGAAATAACGTCATTTGAGGGCACTGGTAGAGCAAGTCATATATAGAAACATACCACATTTTTAAAATTATTCCTCTTATTCTTAAATGTAAAGACTGTTCTGAACCTAAAATTAATTACAGGCTCAAAGAGTATGCATCTTCAAAATTATTTTGGTATGGATAACAAAGCTTTCCAGGTATGCTCTA